TCGGAGACCGAATCACAGAGTGCCTTAAAGCGTACAGCGACCCCGAACATGTCAAGATGTGGCGCAGGTACAAAGAAAAAAAAAAAAAAAGTGGTGTCTTGGTAAAATTAAACATCAAATTCCTCTGGTCAGCTCTTCTAATTATTTTCTGTCATTTTTTGTTGCTTAGGAATCTCTGGATTTTTGTGTCGAAGTTTACAGAGTTCAGTGCCAGAAAGCTCCACAAGCTTTACAAAATGGCTCAAAAGAAGCGATCGCATGATGAAGAGGTAAGTTGGAGTATATTGGTGGGAACATAAGCTACTGTGTGTCATCGCCACTAAATATATTGTGACGTTTCCAGAAGGAGCACAAGAAGAAGGACGATGCTTCAGGGAGGATAAAATCCTTCAGACCAGAACCTTCAGGTTCCAGTCGAGACTCCACAGGCACGCCGTCCTCCAAGTCCACGTCTCTCCCGAGCCAATCAGGAACACACGGACATCACAGGGAAGCGTACAACGCTGCTAACAAAAGACACTTTGGCAACAACGGTGCGTGTGGACCAGCTGCCTTACTTCAAAGCCCAAACAATTCTTTCAAAGTGCCAAACAAGCAAAATCGTCACTATTCAACCGTTTTTTTTTTTTTTTTTTTTCGTAGATCGGGGAGACTGGCCGAGGGACCGTAAATACGGTTACCAAGGAAACAGCAATCAGCCCTGGCAGGGAGATCGCCACCATCCATACGACCCTCATCGTTACAAGGATCACTACGGAGACCGACGTCCCCATGGAGACGCATATCGAAGCTCAGGAGGTTACCGTAACAACACCTCTCCTCGAAAAAGGCCGTATGAGCAGTACGGCAACGACAGGGACCACAGGGGCCATCGGCCCTATTACGACAGGTGAGCAGCTTACATCTGAACTCAAATATTACATACTGATCAGGTTGTTTAAAACACTTTTTTGATGTCTGAAAGTCAAAACACTATTTTGTTTATGAGAACAAAAAAACGACATGTGCAAAAGAAAGAGGGCATGGGTTATTCACGGACTGTCACTGGTAAGGAGGGAGAAGAAAAATAAAAGAAAACATTGTATTGGGTTAAATAAAACCAAGGGACACTTTTTTGACTAAATTTAGAGGCTTGAACAACTTAAAAGGGAAATGTCCAAATTTGGTAGGAAGTGCTTCCGAAGCTCATCGACGTTCGTCATCATTTAAAGTAGATTTTTTTTTTTCCTCAAGAAGAATCTGAAAAGTTGTTCAGCTGGGTTTTCATTGCACCAGCTAAACCTCCAGAGGTCACAGCTTCACCACCAGAAGCCAGAAAAGGTCGATGCTGAAGGAACTTTCTGTTCAGAATGCTCGTCCAAAAATATTAGAGTTGAGTGGAAGAACTATAATATTTTTCCTCTATGTAAATGTGTGGTTAAAAAAAACATTTAAAATATAGGAACGTTTTATGGGTCTTACGTAATACTCAAATTTAATGAAGACAGAATTTTGGTTTTTATTTGCTTTAAGCCATTTGGATCAATATGAAGGGGAAAAATGTCTTTAAATATATCACCAAAAATTCTAATAACTTATTTTAACTCCCTATGATATTTTAAACACATGGACATGGAAAATATTCCCTTTTTTTTTTTATTCAGCAGTCATGCAATCTTTTTCAGGTTAAAAAAAGTGAATCCTGAATAATGTCTTTCAGACACCCGGACCCCAAACGCAGACGTCCCGATGAGTTCCACCCCGGTTACCACCAGGGCAGGGACGGCCCTCCTCAGGACTTCAGGAGGATACCGGATCACAGAGCACAGGGTCCGCCAGGGCCTGACCATTACAACCGGCCCTTCCACCCAGACAAACCCGTCCCGCTGATGGACCCCCGCTCCCCGCAGGCTCAGAAGTCTCCGCAGGACTCCCGCTCCCCGCTGGAACGCCCCATGGATCCGGGCCTTATGGCGGATCCAAACTGGAACAGCAGAAAAACATAAGGCCTCCAGGGCCACGAGGAGTCCTCGTTTATAAGCTGACTGTTAAGAAAGGGAATCAACATGTACTGTCTTTACCAGCAAACTTTCTCCCAGTGTTTGTGATTGTACGATGGAAAGAAAAGAGCTAAAGTGTGCATCTTTATTTAAATGAACTGCCTCAGTTGATCATGAAGCAACTGAGTGGAATAACTGTGGAAGCTTAGTCCTATGGACTATTAGAAGGGAGATTTGGATCCATGAACTCATGAATGATCTCAATCCTAAAAGTGCCTGAAAGTGTTGGCCTTCTGAAGGGTAAATGTACGGGAATGCTCCCGGAGCAACCATGGACACTTGTTTTTTTTTTTTTGTTTGTTTTGTTTAGCTTTAAGTATTGCAAAAAAGATGTCATCAGAAATTGAATGTGTTAATCATTTGCACCTTGGAAACATGTTGACCATGTAGCTGAAGAGAATCACAGAGTTTTCACTGTGCAGATGAAGAGAATTTCATCTGAGGTTGCTGGAAATTTGATTAAACAAGCCAGCATCACTCAGGAGGACTTCTGAATTTTAAACAAAAAATCCAGTTCACATTTCTCATGTGTACCATTATGTACCATTTCTGTAACTATGTATCTATTCCAGTCATTGTCATCCCTTCCGCTCTGTTCACTTTAAAGTCTTTCCTTGCCAATATTGAAGCTATCAAAGCAGTATTTATTATGACTTTTTCAGGAGTTCATAACACTATAAATCCAAACAATCCTTTATTTTGCCTTCCAGTATTATGGTGGCTTAGAAATGGTACTTTGCTTCTTTTAGTAATTCACCTTTTCTTCCTTAATCAGTGCGTTATGTTTCTACCCACGGATTTTTGTGCACTGCCGTTATCTATTACTCCTGTGCCAAATCTGCTTTCATCCCACCTTTATTCTGGTCTCTCTAAGCTTCTTTAAGTACCATTTCTGTTTCCAGGCTCAAACTGCAGAACAGTTGATGAATAGTGCTGGCAGAATATGAAAGTGCTGCTCTTAGCTAAATTATAAATTGATTAAAAGCTCAAAAAAGGATAACATATTCTGGTAATTCATGTAGATTTCTGGTAGGACGGATGATTTTAGGGGCAAAGTGTAAAAACCATGGTATATATATTTTTTTTTTGGGGGGGGGGGGGGGGGGCACTTACAGTCAACTTCTTACAGTGAACAACCAGCTGTTGTTTTTCTCCCACTCAAAATGAACTACAGTTCCTGTATTATGTTCTGTAAGAAAGTTTAAATAATTTATATTTGTGACAAAACCACCCTTCATGAAAAAAATTGCTGTACATATGTTTGAACATATGTAATAAACTTTGTTACACAAAATATTTCTATTGTTGACACACGGCTCAATCTGAAATCACAATTGGAAAAACAATGTTTTTGATGCTCCTTTATCTTATCATATATATATATATTTCTTTTTGTACTTAAGTAGTAGACAAAATTGAAAATTCACAATTTTATTCTGATTTATTTATTATTTCACCAGCTGAACACTAAACGGTAGTTATAAACAAAGGAATATTGTTTTTTTTTTTTTTCTATTTTCTGGGTCAAGAAAATGTTTTAATTCATTTTCACTGACATGAACAAGAAAATGGCAAATCTTTCTTTCAAAACACTTGGTACATTATTGTGTTTAGTCAAGTTTAATGAGTGGTCTAATGCTGCAAAAAGGTGTTGGTGTTTGGGGTCCAATTTACCAGCAATAGTCTGAAAGAAGCCAGATTCTTTGTTTTCGACTTAATTTCCATTTTTAAGAAGATTGAAACCTACCATCAGAATGCATGCATGCGTCTGTGACTATGTCTACTAGTACTTCTTGAAAAGGTTTCGAAAAAGCCTTTTTCCAACTTGTATCTTAAAATTTAACATTTATTTGAGGTTACATTTCATTTAGAAAAATTTCCATCTTCACAATTTTTGATATTTTACTTTTAAACAAAATTGCTGGTTTCACACTTATTGGCTTGAAGAACTACAATATTTGCCTGCTTTTGTTTTGTAAAATAAAAGCCAAAATATTGTGTAGTAAGCTGGCATTAGCAAGGGGAACCAGTTAAAAAGCAAGTGTACTTAGGTTTGTTGTTAATTTTCACATTTGTCTTGCCTCAAGTTACCGTGGATTTCTATGTTCACATTTCACAGCTTGCTGAGCCATTTTAATTTGAATCTTTAGAGATAACCTTTCAGAGAAACTTGGTTTTTCCCCTTTGGTTTAGAAATTGATGTTTGCATGCTCTACCCATGTTTTAAACCAAATAGCTCAAACTTTGTTACTGTTGAGACGCTTAAACCGGCTGTTGATCAGTTCACCTATTGCATAAGTAATTCCTATTTATTAATACTGTTCTTTGAGTCAGGTTTTCCTGAAAATGATCTCAAATGAGCTTCTTGTGTGCAATTGTGGTTAATTGCACACAAACAGCTAATTATGGTTAAACGTGCACTCAGTTGGGGATCAAATTTCATTAAGTAAACAAAATGTAGATAAAAAAAAAAGACAAGTGAAGGAGAACAAAATGTAGGACACAAAAATAAGACAAGGAATGATCAAAAGTAGCAAGGAGTGACTAAATAAAGGAAAAAAGGATATGTGGAGGAAGAAGGGAAAAAGAAAAGGAATGGCATCAAATTTAGATAATAATGATGTGAAACTAAAAATTTCTCCATACTCCAATACTGTTTTCAGATATAAAAATGGGTGAAGTCAACAAATTTTAGAGTGACATAATTTCCTGCAGCAGAAATGTGCTTGCTTATTTAATCTATTGGTCTCCACTGTTTTTAAAAGTTTTGCTTATTTTGTAAGGCCACAGTCAAGAGTTTTTACTTTAAAAAATACTACGTGGTAAGAGGTTGGTATTAAGACATCTAACAGCTCCACGTTTGAACAGGAGAGGGCAGTAAAACACTAGACATTATTAGCTGAAGATGATTTAAAAAAAAAAAATTCTAACTGCAACAGAACTGAGACAAAGGAAGGCAGCTCATTGACAAGACTTTGTCTTTTATTCAATAAATAACTTACATTATCAACAGCTGGCATGTGGGACCACATAAGATTTACATTAGAACACAGTTTGATCTTTCTGGCCTTTCCCAGTCAGCTAGTTTTTACAATCCATTTTAAGCATCAGCATTAAAAGAAAAAAACAAACATAAAGTGCATCAAACTCACACACACAAACGCCACAGAACATTTTCCTACATTCTCTTTTTCAGAAAGGTGGGCTGCGTTAATGGTAAACAAGAGATCTTCTCATTTTGTCAGCATGTGTACTGTCTTGAAAACCTTTCTATGGCGTTTGTGTTGCTGAAAAATAATTTTTAAATCCTTTTTTTTTTTTTTTTTTTTAAGAATTAGAGGCTCACATTCACCAAAAACATTGTGTAAAAATCTGAAGGGATAAATTCAAAAACACAACGAGTGATATACAAATCTAAACACAACAATGCACAAAACCTATGTACAATTCTCACAGAATACGAGTCGAACCAGATACTGTAAAACACACAGTTACATCCATTGACACACGGTTTAACACCACTACTATTTTGTTGTTGGAGTGTATTTAGAACGCATTTTCAGAACAGCAGTGAGAAAGGCCTGCCGCACACTTTCGGGGTAAACGATAAACGTCCGTAAAGTCGAAAAGGTAGTAAGAGCATGGAGAAGATGATGCAGCTGAAAGATGTCTTCCAGCGAGAAGCATGTATTGACATGACACACACACACACACACACACACACACACACACAAAAGCAACTGTATTTTCTCACTTTATGGCAAACACAAGTTATATACAAAGAAGATTCCCGCAATGTAAAGAGCTTGAGGTTGAGAGATGAAAATTCAGTTAGGAGGCGAACGTTGGCACAGGAAGGCGTTCTTTGGCAACAACTTCAGCCATGAGATCACCTTTTTTTCCCCTTTAAGGACGTGCTTATTGTTTAGCCGGTGTGACTCAGTCAAGTCTCGGTCTGTAAACGCTTAAAACCAAACAGAGGTGACGTCTCCTGAGCTGAACAGCCACCATCTATATTGTTGTTAGAAACGGAGCTGTCACAGTCCAATCGGTTGATCGACCTCCTCCAAAGCGCCAGTAAAGTTGCTTCTCTCTGCCGGTTTCACACAACAGGCTCAAAAAACGAACAGTGTGTCAGTTTAAACAATAGCGGGGACGCCTGTGTGTCACTGACAAATGACGTGTTTCTATTGATTCCAGTTGGTGATTTGGCAGGAGGAGACTATTTTGTCTTTTATTTCTCCAAAAATATTCTGGGAGGAACACAAAGACATGAGAAAGATTTCCCGCTGGAGATTTCTTTTCCTTTTATATTTATATATGTATGTCTGGAAAATCCTGCTCTTACAAACACACCAAATTAACCACAGATGCTGAATTCTTCACACACATTGTACTAATGCACACACACGCACGCGCACACATACAAAACCTAACAATATGACTCATTAATCTCCACAGCAGACAACTGGAGACGTTGCTCTGACATCCTTTTGGCTGGGAGCTTCCTTCGAAAATCTCAGCCTTTCCCAAAGCTGGAAACTAATCAAACGTGGAGCTGCCTCTGGCCTTAGGTTAACAAAAGCCCCTGTTAGGTCCCAATCCCCACCCACTCCAATCCCTTACTCAGCCACATGAGCCATGGATGGACCTGGCACCGATGTGTGGATCAGAGGAGGGAGGATCAGCAGACCCCTCTTTCTGCAGAAGATCATCTTGGGGGTTAGTCATACGTTTTAATCCCAGGTGGACATCCTGAGATCTGGGCTCTCTTCAAAGAGTAAAAGCAGCTAAATGCACGTGATGACAGGTGGGCGAGGGAGTGGTGAGCGTCATCCTGTCATCAGGCAGATGTCAAAACCACCAAAATGAGCTGCTGGAGAGGCAAATATATACGACACAGCGATTGTATTTCCACACTCACTGACAGACACGACATGAGGAGAGCATGTCAAACAATCTACAGAAGAGCTGCGCTCCACAGTAAGATGGCCAGCAGGTTGAGGACCGAAGCCAAAAGTACATTTTTGCCTCCCCATGTCGCGCTGTTTAGGGCATCCTTTTCATAGATGTGATATCTGTTGCTGTTTGAGTGGAGCATTTTTACATCCTCAAAAGCGTAGTATGCCGCCATGGTGAAATTAATGTCTCCAGAGGAGAGGAGGTCAAACACACAGGACTGGAAGTACAGATCTTCCACTGGAAGTCGCTCTTTGCACTTGACCTTTGCTGACTTGAAGGTGAAGCCGTTTGTCCCGGCGCTGCCCCTCGTCCTACTGGCACCCTGAGTCGCCTCCGCTGCCCGGGCTCTGAAGTTCCGGAAGTCAATGCGCTGATTGGCCGGACAACCGTGGAGACACAAATACAGGTCTTGGGTGTCGCCTTCCTCCACCGAGTGAGCAACCTCCTCAGGCATGCGCACAGCGAAGGTCAGGTAGCGGCCCACCTGCCGGACCACGATGGTTGTGCCGATATACTTGGCCTGGATCTCCACGTGCTGCCCAGGAACCTTCTCCACCACGCGCAGAGTGTTGGCCCCGTAGCGGTCGCCGCCATTCTTAGAGCCGTCAGCGAACGCTGCCGGCAGGTCGTCCGTCTCTGCGTGGTACATCTTCTGCTCAACGCATTCCTGGTAATTTCTGAAGATGATTGTGAGCTGCAAAAAAAAAAAAAAAAGTTATTGTCAGTAAAAAGAAATATTTTGTTGGTGAAAGTAACTGCTTTAAGTTGCAGTTTGTATAATCAGTCATAACAATTTGTAATAAATGCATAGCATATTAAAAATGTTTTACACCCTTCCCATTTTTAGATTATGTAATATTATAATTTTAAAGTTTGATGTTTTTATTGGGATTTAAAGTGATTGACTAACAGAAAATAGAAAGTAATTGTGGAAAAAGACATACAGATTTACATTCTTTCAAATGTAAATCTGAAAAGTGTGGCATGGATCTATATCTATCCTCTCTGACTCAGTAGAGCTACCTATAAAGGTTAGAGTTTGTGTTTTCCTTCAAAGTTGAACCTACAACCTGGTTCTAATTCTGTCAAACTCTACACGGTTTCTTTCCCAAAATTGCCTTGCATTTAATTTCAACAACTTTTGAATGCTGAAGAAAAGCATCCCCATAAAATGACAGTGTTACATTCATGTGGATTGTGAGCAAAAGGTACATCATTTGTTTTCCATCACACATCCATTTTGTATGTATACCAAAAGCTTCAGTTTTGGTCTACATTCTTGTCTACAAATCTGCAAACTTGTACAACACATAAAATCCAGCCTAATAATTACAATTACAGTTTGCAACATATTGCAATGTCTGTGATTGTAATGTTCATGAGGAAATGTTCAAGAGGAATAAATGCTTTTGTGAGGTTGTGATCATCACAATTAAAAATGGAAAGGTTTAGAATTTTGCTCTGAGGAAAGGTTTGCACTACATTGACTCCCTTCTACTCCAGCAAAGTGTCACATTTCAGTGCTGGCTCAACAAGGGGGGAGGCCAAGGTAAACGCCCTCCAAAAACACAAGTTCCTGGCCATGTAAAAATCAGGCCTCAGTTTGCAGACACAAAGACGATCTATTCATAGTGCTGAAAAACCTGCCTGTGAACCCCCAGAACTATGCTCCGGGGAGTGGCGTCGGGCCAGGACACGGCGATACACTCTGCAGCTAATTAAGCGAGGCTGGTCAGAACTCTCCAGGCTCCGTTTCATGGGACACCAATGGGCCATTGTCTGAGCAATGGTACAAGGACAGCCAAATGTTCTGTTGTCTGTTTCTGACAGGGGGTCTACACAACACTCTATTAGCCTAACAATTAATGTGCTGCGGCCGCCCTGCACCCACAGTCATTTCTTAAACGTTTCTCCAAAGCAATCAAAAGACATACGCCTCTATCCGTGCGCCCTCTGAATGAAGGCAGTTTTATTTGCTGCTGTGTGAACAGTGTTACTACCAACATGGCGCTCTTCTATTTAAAGCAGATCTTTCACCAGAAGGCTCTTGTTTGCACAGGTGGCACTTGCTGCTGTTTTGTTTCCCCTTTTATCCAGAATCGAGCACTCTTAAAAAGCTGTCTCCGTTTACTTCCAAGAATAGCAGCACAAAAAGTAATTCACTTAAAAGCTAAATAAGCCACAAATGCTTAATAAGTGTCATTAAGAAGCCCTGATTACAGAAAATTACAGTTCCTACAAATGTGAGCCTTTCTATTCCTCCATCTAAGTACTTCAGTTTTGGGCCTCAATTACAATTGCTCCAAAGGCTCTAAGAAATCTGGGCCAACTCCATCATGATGCTAGAAGACAATTTAGCAGCAGCTATCCAAATTATCCACTGTGCCTTTAAGCAAACTAATAATCATGGGTGTTCAGCAGATAAAGATATGAGGAAAAACCAAGTATGCACACAATAGCTAACTCCACCCCGAGCAGCAGAGACATCAGACGGAGCTGAAGTGAAAATAAATCCTTGTGTTAACATCTGATTCTGCTCTGTTGCAACATGTCATTTAGGGGGCTTATCAAGATTTCAGCGATTGCAAACCAGGCTTGGACTTCTCGATGTGTTACTATAGAGCTAATTCCAAACATTAACCAGACGCCACAGTTTGACAGAAGAGAAGCCGCTCCGCAGCACTAACAGTCAGCTTGCAACAAACAGCGCACACATGCAAAAAATCAATACACCAATAGTTTCCCGGACCTTTGGTTCGCCTCGGCCTTTAGAACCGTGATTAAATGAAGGTATTCAGTGCTTCGTATTGATAACATTGCACTACTCAGACTACTTTAGTGTTGTAAATGAGTGTATACAATAATCGTTATGTTGTTCTTTGAGGGACTGTCTGTTTTTTAAATTATATAATTTTGTCGGTCTTTAGCTGGAGTAATCTGCAATCACAGCCATATGATCTATTGCCAAAAACAACTGCAATGGATTTCTACAATTAATTTTTAGCATTTGGAGTTAAGATTGTTTACCTAGTTAGATTTGGTATCCATAAACCACAAAGCTGTATTTATTTCCATCATGATGAAGGGTTGCTTTGCAGTTTTTTGGCATCTAGACCAACTTTGTTTGATTATCTTTAATACTCAGACTTGTCAAATCTAAAATGCATCATTGTAGAGTAGACTAAATATCATTTTTTAAGAACAGCTTGTAATACTTACTATAACAATTGATTGTTTTAGTGAAAAATGTTGTGCTATGTTTGAAATCTCAATTTGACTCGGTTTAGAAATCACAAGACTGTTTTAAAACCCTGATCTAAATAGGTCTAGAGGCCCAAAACCCTTTTTGAAATTCATCTTTTTAATTCTGATAATGGAATGGGCAATAAAGTCTTGAAACGTTTATCCTCAGTTGTGTTTCTGTTGCCCACCAAGAATTTAAACATGGTTACAATCCAATTTCAAACTTTTCCAAGACCATGAACCCAGTTACCTTTTGTACAGATCATCAAACATGAACTGGCACCAAACACACAACACATTATACCATTTTAGCCTTTTGAAATATCTGGAAAAAAACATGCATATTTGATTACAATAACATGAATTCCAGAAGAAAAAAGGGCTACATCAAAAACAGTGAAATTAACATTACAGTCACATTCTATAACATGACACTTCTGCATGTTTGACCTGTTTTTGTGCAAAAAGATGAAAGAAATTATGACATCAAAAATAATGTCAATCACTTGCAAAAATTGCTAAAAGGAAATCCCTGACTATGACATGAAATCTCCATCCAGTCCTTATGTCCATTTTGTAAAACATTTTCTATGCATAAAAATTCATCAATAGCTGTATTAACACACATAAACTGGGCTGTACTCAGTCATACATGTAATCCTCACCTTGCTGGTGGCCGTTGCCACAGATCCTGGAAGCACAGGCGAGTTGGTCACCTGGACCGACAGGAATTTGTTATGGATGAGAGGCCAGGCTCCTTCCACCTTGCACGTCTGAAAGTCATCGCCGAAGGTCCTGAGGTGAGGGTCTCCGAAGAAGCCACAGTGGGTGTAGTTAGGCGGGGCCGAGTTACGTGTCAGACTGCGCTCATAGTGACACACCTCCGGCCCGTCGGAACGCTCCTGGCTGTCGGTCACGACCGGGGGAGGTGGAGGAGGAGGAGGCGGGGTTCTGGCTCGCGGCTGGAATGTCGGCCCCTCCCTGGAGCAGTTCTTTTGGTTCATTAGGTCCTCTATGCCATGCTGGACGGAGTGATAGGCCAGGTCGCCCCTGCAGCTCCGCGCCAGTCGGCTCACGCAGCTTTTATACGCCCGCAGAGCCGTGCAGTACTCCTCCTGCTCGAGTCCAGAGTTTGAGGTGATCGCCAGATATTCAGTGGTGCACTTGATTACCTTGCACTGCAGACTCGCTGTCAGGAAGATAAACGGAATCAGAAAAGTATGCAGTTTAGAAATATGACGCTGACACATGAAGCTGTAAATCAAAAGTGTTGTTTTTTTTTTTCTCTAAAACTAATTCATAATGCTCAGACAACTAATGAAACATTGCTTTCTATACACTTAGAAGGCAAGAAGTTTATTTAGCCAACACTTACATGCTGAAAGTTAAAAACAGCATTTTCACATTTTTGACCATCTACCTATTGCAAAAAATACCTTGAAAGTTTGAAGTTAAAATCCTTCTTTTGGTTCTAATCTCTAGTCTTACTGATGATTAATCACTCCTGTCTCAGAGATTGTTGAGCTGTTTCACTGTTCAAACATATCTCAAGAAGCCTTATTGCAACACCTTGTCTGACAAGCATCACCTTGGGCTAATAAAGCATTTACGTATAAAGCTGTTTCACCAAATGTTACAAAGCAAAAGACACAGCAAAACTTTACAAGGCACAATTTAAACATTTGTGGAAAAGCTTTGCCATAGCTCCTCACTCAGCACTTAACAACCATCTGATATTGTACAATAATCTTGATTTCAGCCATTATCTCTTTTGCTCGCTGCATTTCTTATCATCATTGTTGCTAAATGGTAAGTGATTTAGGTGGTAATGTAGACTGGCCAAGGTATTTCCACCAGAATAGTTCAGTTTAGCTTATTCAGTTCAATTTGATCATAATTCATTAACTTTTTATCAATTCCATCCAGTTACAAACTTCTACGACACTTAGAGGTTGTAGTAACTCATTATCTAAAGAATCATTATAGAACCTGTGACTCTGAATGAAGTCAGCTTAGTTTAGGTGAATTCAATCATTTCCAGGTCTGGATAAAATATGAAAGAAAGAAATTGAGCACTGACAAACTGATTCTGACTTTTACATGACTTTAGATTTAAATGCATGCTTTATCTTTTACTTCTACCACACGCATTCTGCCTTGATTTTTATCTTTACTTTTCCCTGCAGGAAAGGTAGAGTGACTAAATAGACTAACCCCAGTTATTTTAAGTCAGTTTTGTGAAATTCTGACTAAATATACGCATTAGAAAGTTAAAACAGCACTACTTTCGTGGATTCTCGACAAATTTAAGTTTAGGTTGAAAGGGACATGCAGATCATAAAATGGGTTTACTTAAGACGCCAAACAAAGCACAGACACCGTGACTATTAGTAATTTTTACAAAGTGAATAAAGGTAACAAACATCACAAAGTGGACTTTGCAAAATTTACATTCAGTGTAGGATAAACCATTGAAAAATCCAACATAAACATTAGAAAATAGAGATGATTTGCCTGAAATGAGTCCAGATGCAAAAAAAATAAAATAAAAAAAGAGTTAGTTTCAATGTTGTTGAACATTTTGTACACAAATGTCTAAGATATTAAATAGAAGCAAAAGCGAATAACAAACAAACAAAGGCAAAGGAAAAAAATCTAGACATTTCAGCTGGAAAGCTGTGGGAAATAGAAAAAAAAGAGAAGAATCCTTAATCTAATCCATAGACAATAGCAGATCTGAATCTGAATCGATGCAATCTGACACTGAAATCGGTGTTAAACTCAGATTAGTGAAAAAAGAAATGCAATACAAACACACTGATGCAGATGGGGGAAAAAACTGCAAAAAGTTTTTTTTTTTTTTTTTTATCACTCGATGAAAATGAACAACAATGTTTATGGCCACAAATCTATGCTGGTGTGAAGATGTGCACCAGAAACCTTAACATCCTCCACTGAGTTTCTTACCGGAGGGGAAAAGAGCGAAAAACACAGCGAAGACTCTGCACACGTCAAGCGCCGAGGGTCTTCCTCTTTCCCCCATAACCATCCATCCAGCTCGGGGTCGCGCTTCGCTCCTCTCCCTGGTCACATGGGGTTAAACACGGGAGAAAAGTTAGCGGCAGCGCTGCAGCGTTCCCACTGAGAAGACAGTCCACAAAACAGGTCTGAAGCCGGGCGCCGTCCTTCTCTCATCACTGCCGAGTTAACAGAAGCTGCTTCCACTGCCCCCCTGTTTTTCCCCCTCCGTGTCCCAGTTAACACACAGCGGCTCCTTCAGCCAGCAAGTATGCGGCACAGGAGTCTCTAAAACGCGGCGGGCTGCAGGGCTCGACTCTAGAGAGCGGTGAAGGTCCAACCTCCCTCCGGAGACCAGCGGACACACTCAGCCAATCACGACCGTCCGCACGGCGCCTCGGCCCTCCTTCTGGATCAGGGTCTCATGTTACGCCTCAATGTGCAGACTTGTTCGACTTTTAACGACCCGCGAAGCTGCAGCCCGCAAACGGCATGAGCAAGACACCTTTGTTTTAAAGCAAAAACCACAAGAAAGAATGAAAAAAAAACAAAAAAAACAACAAAAAACTTCAGTGTGAAAAGCTGATTGAGATCAACAGAAATGGAGGGAAACCACTATCCAGCATGCAGGTTCTGACTGTCATAAACACATTTATTTTCTTTTTGGTCACTTCATACTGTGCCAGTGGTTCCAAACTAGTTCTAAATTAGTACATATTAGTCAGTGTTGTGACAAATACTACTGCAGCAACTGCAGTTATTCATTTTTATTGTGTTGTGAAAAAGATATAAACAAATTGTCACTCTATAAAGTGATCGAAGGATGTAAGTGTGTTACATCTTAACTCAGAAGCGGAAAATTTAAACATTGAGATGGAAAATTAACGACGATCAGAAGAAGTTGAAATATCAAGTTTCCAAACATTTAAATGTGTCTGCCTCTTATATAAAAATTAAGGCCAGCGTCAGCAAAAACATTTTTAAGTCACCCAATTAAACTTGACCCCCCGACTATCTCCCAGATTCCACCACATCTGTATTGTGGAGCTTTTAGTGGCGGAGATGTTCTTAAAGGGGAACTGAGGCCCCAGATCAAATTCTGCATAGGGCCCTATACAACCTCGGGCCAACCCTGTTAATGAGTATGTCAGTTTCCAAATCCCAACTTCTTCTCAGTTATGGAACACGAACACTTCATTCAGGCCTGATGTCATTAGTCAAACTGTAGAAGTGAATGAAGTACAGCGTAAGTATTCCTATGCACTTATTTCTCCTTCATGGCCATCTGCTTCAGTTCATACTGGGAATTCTACAAAAACTAGTGAAGGTGCCCGAAGTACCATATGTTTGAGAACCATTGTTCTATGCCTGTGGCATTCAAAGTAGATATTACATCTGTGAACACTCCAAGTACCTCTTCCATGTTTTGTGTATAAGAAAAAAGAAAATGGTTGAAGGAAATATAACATGCACGGTATTACAGACTTGATCAAAGTTTATTGTTGGACAAACTACAAAATAGGTCCCTAGAAAGTGGAAATTTCTCACCAACCCCAACCTTAAAATCCACATATGGCTGCTTTGCCCATAAAACGTGGAGTGAGCCGTCATAAAAATTGATTTACTTGAACCTTGGCGTAATCTGCTGATTTCTACTATATTCGATAAATAACCTCTGTGTGGTTCTACCCATAATAATTAGCCACAGCAGTGACTTGTCTCTTCACTGTCAGAGTTGAATTAACAGCATCGTATGTCACTATTATGACTTTACTCTAATCCACCACATGTATGTCATTAGTTTGAAAAGACTTTTTAGGATCAAACATGTTACTGTGAGAAAACTGATGGTAGATGGACTTACAGAGTTCAAGTAGTGGGACAGATGGTGCCGTAACAAGAACATTTTGATAACCACATTACTGCTGAGCAGTTAAATCCACACGAGTAAAACATAAGCCCAATGTGTGGGGAAAAAGTAGAATTTTAACTTCTTGAGGGTGGTTTTTAAAGATTTTAGAGTAACTACCAATCTTGTAAATAGTTTTTTTTCCAGCCAACATACTGCAAACAGTATTTCAGTGAGACTAACTTTTTTTTTTAAGCTTGTTACCACAACGGTTGTTTGAAGTAAGAATTTTAAATGGGAATATTTGGAGGTTTCTCACCAACCCCTAACCTTAACAGTCAAAATGATTTCCTTGCATGCAAAACATTGTGACAGCAGCCAATGAAATGGCTTATCTGTACTTTGGAACATTTATAAGTTATTTGATCTTTCAGAAGCATACAGTAATACATGTGAGGATAGTTGAAAGTACATAATGCCTTGACACACATTGTTAATAACTTACATTGCTAGTAGTTCCTAGCTTTATCACTGAGCCTACCCATTAGCGAAGCAGCTTATTGGACTTGACTAACATGAGTTAGTCGTCATTTCCAGATCTAATCTCGCATGGAAATATCAGCTGCCATCACTTGTTCCTGGTTCACTGTTGTCTGCCTCAGGTTGTGCTGTGAGTTTTCAAAGTTTTCTACATTGCACTTCTCTTTCAAGTAGTTTCCATTTGAAGCAAAGATGAACATATTTATTGCATGCTGTTACAGTTACTTTGTTACTACAGAAATAAATAATCCCAGTATTTTTTGTGAGTTGCAAAATACCGTCGAGGTCTCATCAGCACTTTGTGTGCCATAGGTTGAAAACAGTGGCTCTGTGCCACAGATATAGTTAATCAATCTTATTTTGTGTTTACAAGCCAAATACAAATATGTTTTACTCTCATAGACTCACTGGCAGACCAGACCTATGAACCATGTGTGTGCAAGCTGATATTTTCAATTAATTAAAAGCATCCATAAACATCTTTGTGTCCAAATGTTTCACACATTCTTCAGTGAAGTGTTGGCACAAGATGACTCAAAATACAAATAAATCCCACTAAATATATAATTTTACATCAGTGTTCTGGTTGAATTATCAATTAGTCACTTTGGTTGTGATGTGTCTCACCCCCCCGAGATCTGGTTTTTAGTTTATCAAAAAGCATAGCAAATAAAAGAAAACAGGCCAGGCTCTGGGGTGACATAATGTAATATTTTAAGTTGGATCATTTTAAGATAATGGTGCAGGCATTAAAATGTTGAAACAAAATGTTCTGTATTAACTTATAAATATCCAATAAACTGTACTGAATACTGATCACCATCATTACTTTTGGTCTATACAAGTTAAAAATGTGGTTGAAAAGTGAACGATAAAACAACTTTTTTTTAATTCACCAATCATCTGACTTAAGGTCAAAAGTGGGCAGTCATTTAGTGTGTTTTGTATCACAGTAAATGACTTTGACACAAGTTTATCAATAAAAACAAATATATTACATCTGGCCATTCCTTCTTTTTGCATATTCAAAACTACAAATTCTAAACAAAGGACCTGAGGCATTTTTAATAGTAATTAGAAAGAAGAAACATTAGAATTGGCAGCTCAGACCTTAAAGGAACCAGGAAACCTGTATCAGCCAAGAAAAGCTTGATGTGTCTTAAACCGTACATGTTGCTAACACAGGGTTAACATCCTACTAAATCAGAAACAAGAAGAGCATTTAATTTTTGATTAACCGCTTAATTTTAATGTTAGCTTTAAGTGTATTAAGTAGTATTTAAGTGCATTTGGATGAACTGCTATTGAAGCAGCACATAATCAATGCAGGGAAAACTAACTTGTCTAATTACAGTGCAATCACTTTGAAAACTTTCGTCAGATAACCATTTCCAACTCCACTTCTACTAAAGACATCTTCTTGATTAGCTTTCATTTTCACAAATGGCTGCACTGGTGCTGCCTTTCATTGCCATTTAAGCTGAAACCCCACCTGATGGATGACTGCATGTATGCTCAGGTTGTGGCTGGGGCCGTACAGTATTTTTCCACAGGAGTGGAGAACGTCTGTGTGGTTGCTGTCCCCTCTTGCGGGTGATGGATATGTTCCCATACAATGAGGTCTGAGCCTACACACGTTTTTCAACAAGGGTGGCCCTGTGCAGAGGCTTACATCCAACACTAATATGCCGAGCGCTCACATCTGAAATGAATGAGAGCAGCTGAAAGTTCGAAGTTGCTGCTCGCTGAAAATGTTTTTGATTTAACATGGAATGATTTTTGGGGCTAGTGGCAGAAAGGCTGTGGCTGCTGCAAAACCTGGGAGTTAAATTGTTGTTTAACACCATGAAGGCTTTGATGTGAATATTTTTATGATGTGTTACTGGTCGACTGATGGTTGGAAAAGCCCCAGAGCAAACCAAGTGATCATGTGTGTTCCATTTTTTTTATTCCATTGGCATATATTTTCCTTAGATTCATAATTAGTTAACAAATGATGTTGTATAAACTCTTATGGATGACAGAAGTTAAAGTTAAACATATCTTCTTGCTATTATCTTGAATTATATTAGTCCCAATTAATACAAAGACTTTTTTTTTGCTTTCATTCTCTTATTTTGTAGTTTTACTTTATAAACTGAGCATTTTTTTCATTATGTATTGTTTAACTAAAGATGGATCACAGTTTCAGATATTCACCAGTATCAGATATTTTGTTTCAAAACCACTGATATTTTCCGTCATATCAATAATTGTAGATGGGAGTCGTTTAGGAAATGCCAGGGAATATGCTGCAGTGACTAAAGTTTTTATTAACTGTGTATGGAGCATAATATACTAGTATGGCCCCTTCTCTTCCCACTTGCTGCACACTGCCCTATATCTGACTGAATGAAGGTTCCTACACATTCCCCTTGCTTACAGCATGACAAAAAGAAAACTTTAGGTGTTTGGAAATAAACACCATCAATATGTGATGTTATTCAATGCTTATGCTTTACAAGAAACAAACAACCATCTTACTGAAGAGTGCTGATGTCAAGCTGGTTTAAATTTGAAGCTTTGACTTTGCTGTATTGATCTTGAACACAGTGATACACGGACAATAATAGATTGATTGTGCAGCCCTCATGTGGAGGCTGAAGGAGCACGACACACATTTACAAGATATCACTGTTTTCAAACTGGATATCTTTTCAGCAACCAAACAGAGCAGATAACCAAGCTATACCACTGGGTAATATCAACTTTTTGTAATCTCAATGTTTCCTTTATAAAGAGTAAAAAGCACAATTTTCTTATTCTTAGAAAAAGTTGTGCCTAAAAATGCACAATTCTAATTTAACTCAAGATGGTGGCTCAGACAAATGTTTTTTCCACTCTATTGGTTTCCAGCTGAGAACAGCATGATCGATATGATATTATTGATTCCAGCATGAATTAAGATGACAACTCAAAAAAATAAATAACTGCCATAAGATTTGTGGTTAGGTAAATTAAGACTCTAGGTTTGTATCTTCCTTTTACAATTTCAGCATCAGCACAATCGCTTAATGTTTATTACTATTTTAATAACTATTTTACTTCATTCACAAGGAAATGTTTATTTTTGTTTTGTTCTTAACAATGGAACGCAACCCAAATGACTCCGAAGGACCAAGCAGAAATGTCTGTTGAGATGCAAGGAAATTATTTGTGTGCAATAATGACTTCAATTGCATTACTCAAGCTGAGCCTGTTGGTTTTAAATGTACTTCAATAAAGATAAATTTTGGTTCAATAATTTTGTAATTACAATTAAATTTCAACTCATCTTAAATACATGCTATGATTCTATTGTTGAGGGTGACTGATTTGTTAGGGCCTTCAGAAACATAAGTTAGCATTAAATGATTTGCTTTGATATTCATGTAAAGAATGTTGAAATGCAACAAATTTTTAAGTATATTTGATCAGAAATGTAAACGATTTCTACTCAGAAATACTGAATAATATTTACCCAAATAAAATGTACACAAAATTAAAAAAAAAAAAAAAATAATGGTCTAAATTCTTGTAATTTTATGAAATTAAAAAAAATCCAAATAAGAGTTAAATACTGTCACAAATAACATCAATGTTATATTACTTACCAGTCGGAATAAGAATAGCAGTTTTTGAAAAGCAGCAAATTAAATTAAAACAAATCAGATTAAAACCGTGGTAGTTGGGGTTATCATACCTCTAATGTTATACCATCCAGAAAGCACTATTGAATAACACAAGTCCAAGTTTATTTCAACACTTTCTGCCTCCAGCATTTCAAATCTCAGCTGAATGTCGACGTAAATAGGGAATCTCACTGCTACAAACCATCAATCTGAAGCCCACACCCAGGCAGTTTTAAATGTTGCGGTGGAATATTTTAAAGATCAATAAATCAACCTTAGTCAAACTAAATCAATATGCACGACCCTAATTCCTGTCATGCCACCTGTCAGCTGAAGGTTAGAAACCTTCACACCAGCTGCCATCTCTTATCTTGCCTCATGTCACTTTAAGAAATAAAAATAGGTGACATGCTAATCATCTTAGTTTGATTAATTGATTTTATTTTGACAGTGATGTTTCACAGCTTGATGCATTACTGTATTTATATTCCATAAAATATAAATAGAGATGCACCAATCAATTGATCTGACATTGAAATCACCCATTCTTTTTGCTTGATCGTTATATTCCATTCATCAAAACTAAAAACTCCTACCCTTTTTTAGGGTAGGACCTAAAATTGATCCAACCCTAAATGGACTTTATTGCTTAAAAAAATACATTCAATAAAAATGATGATTTTTAGGGACATCCTTTAATGCACAAACGGAGAGAATTCTGTACTTGTTTCACTTTCATTTGAATTCATATCAGTGAACCTGTACCACGTTTTTATCGCTCTTCAGTGACAAAGTCACTGAAAAAAATGATCTCAGGTCAAACCTTATGGAAACCATTACAGTCAGTATTGTCCAGCCAACCCATGATGGGTGCATTTCTCTTTTTAAATATGTGGCAGAAAAAAAAGAGCATTTCAATAAATTTGTTGGCTTTATGCATAGGGTCACATACAATTTTTTATTTTTTATTTTTTGTAAATCCCGTTGTTTGGGATTACGACACACTTTAAAATGAAAATTAAACATTAGTGAGCTGTTGCATTTATTTTTTTATCAATCGGAGCCTGATCGACCTCGACAGCCTCTTGCCCCCAACAGATGGCGCTTGTTGGATCTGATCTGAGAGCAGAAATCTTGACACAAACGCACATGGCTTTTACGAGGGCAAGCAAACCTGTCATTAACTGTGAGCTGCACAGTCAGCCCCGGTTATTGTGCTAATTGGAGCTGTCAGACATTAAAAAGGAGAAAACCTGCATCCAGCAGGCGCATTTCTGTTTACAAGCCAGAAGATCATCCATCAATAATTGATCCATTAAATTGTCTGTTACTGATATAAATGTTGCCACTCTAAAAGAAAAACAAGAAGCTTTAGGGGATATTTGGTAGAAGTAAAAATGAATTATTTAGATTTTCCTAGAAGTTCCGTTTGTGTCTGGGCTCAAACTGAACAATCCGAGGTTGCAGGAATTCACCTTTCTGAGTTGAGAACCCGGATTTTACGGAAAAATCGGAACAGATCAATATGCAAAAAGGAAGTTTAGTGGTGAGCACGTAAAACAAACGGAGGACATGGACCAACCTTTGCGGCTGCATGGGCTCTCCGCGAGTCAGGAGTTCTGCAGGAACCCGGAGGACAGCGAACGGAGAGGAAGCAGATTCCTGACCAAATAAATAAATTAAAAAAGAAAAAAAAAATCCTTCAGACACCAGGCTGTCACACTAATCCTACATCACACACAGTCAGTGGCTCTCTGAGTGTAAAATCCTCTGCTCGGTGCATGGTGGTGTCCGCCGGATCAATTTCTCCCGAATCCGCTCTGCAGCCAAATCAAAGTGTCTCTTAATCTCAAGCAGACACCTCTCGCACCCCGCGGACTCGGATCTCCCCAGCCATCGCTTAACTCACTCCACATCAGTCGATCGGAAAGGAGACGTTATGAGAGATTAAGTCCAAGTAATTGGCCTCATCCAGGTTGTTAGTTATGGTCGAAGACGAAGGAGGACCAGGAGGAGGAGGAGGAGGAGGGGGGATAAGAGCCCCGAGGGCAAAGCTGCTGCCTTCTCTGCCGCTGCTGCGTGCAGCCCGATCCGCTGTCTGGATGTTGTGAAATGGCTTGTTAGAAAGTGTGAGAGAGACAATGATGAGCTCTGCGTGACGCCACATGAAGCCCCCCCACCCCCCGAACCCCAGAGCCCCCACTTCTGCTGTTGTAGTTTTGCACTGGAGAGAAGTGGGCTTCAGATCAGGTCACAGCTGTTGAAGAGAAGCTGGAAAATGTCTCTCGCATATATATATATATATATATATATATATATATATATATATATATATATATATATATATATATATATATATATATATATATATATATATATATATATATATATATATATATATAACATCACAGTCCTATCACCGATGACACTTCAATTAGACGTCTTCTGACGTGCGATGAGGATTGGTGCCTCATATTTTCTACCCTATTTACTTTTCGCACCTTTAACAGTGTTGAAATTGCTGCCTTAGTTTGATTGCCAACAAATAGGCCCCGACTGTCAGATCCATTTACGGGATGACCTCTATCACACTCGTCTTTGCAAATCACAGGTTTGGGAAAAGACAAATCCATAATAATCAGGATTTAACAGAGGATCAGATGGACAAACACTCTGCAGCTGGGGGAGAGGGGGTGGGCTGCAGCTCAGGAGGAAGGCAGCACCTGTGTTTTAGGATCAGAATGCAACCACAACCTCCCCCTCCATGCTTTAAAAGCTTTCCCAGCTTCAACAACTCAACAGATTCTCCCTATTCTCTCTAGTTTCCCTCTAACCCTCTGTGGCTGAATAAAGCAGCAGAAACAATCAGGATTCTTGCAACCCGCCCTGAGGTTGTCTGACTGTGATGCAACACAAACTTGGAGCTGTTCAAAACCCGACTTTGTCAAATGAGACCATGCCTTCAGCTCCCATTAGAGGTGATGTTGCTGCTGTAGCCTATATATGCCTAAAACTACAGTGCATGTTCCAAAAGTATTCATACCCTGTGCTTTTTGTGAAAATATATGTCATTAGGGTTGTTGTTTTTTTATGATTGACCACCTGAAGTAGTGCATAATTTTTGAAGGAAAATAATTTCTATTATTTAAGAAATTTTTATAAATAGAAGTCTGAAACATGTATTTATGCGCTGCCCCTCTAAATTCACAGCTGCGAGTGTTTTAGCTCCGTTTGTCAAGAGTCTAAAAACTAACAAAAGCTCTGGCAGAGAAAAGTGTTCCCTCAGCATGATGCTGCCACCATCAGGTCTGACTGTGGGTGTGATGTGTTGACAATGGTGGGTTTTCTGCAAGAGGTCTTCTCTATCAATACCTCTTTCTTTAACATGCTGTTTTCTGTCTCTTTAATTTTCCCTGACCTGTTTCAAAAAATCAAATAGATTGAAGTTTGTGATTGCAGTGTGACAGAACTTTCATTAGACAAGAATACAAAGCAAACCTTAGAGCTTAAAGCCAGAAAATCACCACTATGATTTTCTTCCACCACTATGATCTACTTCTACTTCTTCAGTAAATGTCCTTTTTTCTCCCATATGGCCACTGTCAGGCTCCGAATTGTACACTGATGTAAGAGCAGAACATGAAAGAGCGACACCCCAGAGTGAAAAGAATGGCATTAAAGGTGCAGGATACTGGCTCCCATCTCAAACACAGCTGGTGCACATGCTGCCTTTCTAAAGGCATTATAGCCTAGTTAATATAACAGATGTGCTTAACGTGCCATTTGACTGATAAAATGTTCAGGTCCTTCTATGTGCATGTGTCAGATTCCGGTTTATGAGTAGACTTATCGAGAATCAATGACAATTGTCCATGTGCTGAAACAATTGTAGCAACATAGGCTTTCAGTTATGCCTACACCTTTGGGAGCTCCTGAGGTCTTGATTATATAGCTGTGATTTGAAACAGTCTTAGAAACAGAATGAAAATCTGCAGAGCTAAGAATACCCAGGAGACAACGTGTGGCAGAAATTACAAGCTACTTGAATCTTCAGAAAAGTTTATTATGTCAACTGTTTATATGAAGATACATATACTGTATTCCAATGCAAAGACCAAATTGAAGAAAGACAGATTACGTGAACAAATCTTAATGCTGCCTTTCATAAAAAATAAGTATGATGACGTAAAAACATCAACGCTGGTTGTATTTAAACAAGTTTATCAGATTTATTCCAAGACATTAGATCTTGGATCTAATGTCTGCATGTTGAGCTTCGAGTGAAGATTTTGCTCACTTGTATTTTGTTGCAGTGATTGTGAGCCCTTCCTGCTCCGGTAACATCACATACTCAGACTGACCTTTCTGTGCCTTTTTGAGCTCCAGGTGCATAACAATTAGCCCATCACAGTGTGTTGTGCTTTTCTTGTCAGAGGTGTCGCACTGCATTGTGTTCAGACACAACTGGGATCACTACATCGCCTTGAAGAAATTCTCCCTAATTGCTCTTCCTGTGTGGAGCTGATTAAGATCTCATGATCAAGAGCTGAATAATTTGTTAAATAATCCTTTAAAACATTTGTAGGGTTAGCAGCTCTGTTATCTGTTTAAATAGTAATGTTTGCATGGTGAAATCTTAAAGCATTTAAGCATAAACAGATCAAAAGCAGTATTTGCTTTGTCAAATCAGAGAAGTGATTTTGATGTACTTTTCTGACAGTCATGTGAACTCTTGCGTGGAGCTGCCAACAGTAATAAATTATCATTTTCTTCTCAGAATACATCTTTCAAATGGGCACATATAGAATTCTGATCAGAACTAGAATTTCTGTTCACCTGAATGCTGTCAGAACTTTGTTTTTGCAATTATAGATTTTGTCACTAATCACAAAATGGGAAAATGCAACACAATGGGTGCTGGTAAGAGGTCCCCAAAGAATGCTTTTAAGTCCAGAGGTAAGGTGCTGGTTTGTTATTTCTCCAAGTTAGTGCTTATTGACAGTATTTCTTCTTATCTTCAAGTTCATACTGAGCAAATCTCCATATAAAATTGTGACCTACGAACTCACATTCTAACTGGGAACTTTGCTGTCTTTACTTTTGTTGTCATTGGTGTTTGTGTCATGCATTGACATTTATATCTCTTACAAATTAGGCTAAACTGCCTTTTTCCATTTTTTTCTTTTCATTTTCACCCCACTTTCGATTTTATATATATAAAAAAAAAAGAATCAGTACAATCATCACATGACCAGTCAGACTTGAAAGTAAAAAAAGTTGATATATATATATATATATATATATATATATATATATATATATATATATATATATATATATATATATATATATATATATATATATATATATATATATATATATATATAATATATATATATATATATATATATATATATATATATATATATATATATATTATATATATATATATATATAAAACAGTTTCCACTGAAGGAACAACATTTAATTGTAACTCCAAACCTCCATTAATTACACGGAAAATGAACAGTGCCACATATTTCTAACCACAGATGGCCGTGGTTAGAAATATGACTGAAACCCAGATACAGCTATTATCTTAAAATTGATGATTCAGAGCTTTTAGAAGCTTGTGGCTCTCCTTTGATAACTTGAATTATTGTCGCAAATGACTCCAACAATATTACCAATTACAATCTGTTTTGTAAAATTGCACAAACCTCCCACTGCTCTCTGGTGGAGTTCAGCAATTGATAAAACCCATCAATGTTGGAAACACAGATAAAAATTACGTCTGCTGAGCTACAAAGCATTAGCAGTTTTGTATTTGTTCATAAAAAATATTTTTAGACAGCTTTTATGCATTAGAAATGACCATGGAATATGTTTATATTAAATTAAAAAATCAGAATTTATGATTTTTTCAAAACATATTTAGGTATTATTGCAAATGAGAGTCCATTTGATACTCTGAAATTTGGGAAGCTTTATGCTTCTTGTACATGACTGGCATTTGAAAAGTTTGTTCACCAGCATCACCCTCTTCGGTAATTAGATGTGAGTATGAATCCACGAAATTCTATTAACCCAGATATTGTTAAGAATTACAGCCACAGTCTGCAACAGAAACAATGCTGGAAGGCTTGTAAATTGTCTTCTCATGCAGGCTGAGGAATAGACTTGAATGTGTAAACTCTCATTAAAAAAATCTTATTTTTTTCTTTTGAGCAGGGGAAGCATGCACCCCCATACTCCTCCCCAAATTCTTCCCCTTTCTAAAACCAGACTGAAATCCAATAGAGAATTACTAGATATGTGGACCAAACATTGCAGTCTGCTTAGACCTCCTTACAGACAATTAGCATGTTCTGTCTAGGTCTTAATTGAATACACACTTGATCAAGCTTAATTTTAGAAAAGATAGTCATGGAAAAGATATGACTGACTCAGATTTGGGATTGATTCTCACAATTTACCACCTGACAGGATTTAAGAGGTTGGGGGGAAGCATATACATAGTAGAGCTTCCACAACTTGATTTGCATGCGAGATGGCATGAATGCTAGAAAGAAAAAAACAGGCTTATCTCAGCAAGACAGCTGCCTTTTTAATTTCCTGCATCCAAGATTATATGGAAAAAGTGAAGGATAATCTATATATTCATCCTATGAATGTAAGATTAGATGAGCTTTTACTCCTCACTATAAAAACAATGAAAATATTGGCTTTATTTGTCTCTCTTGTCATTACAGTCATTGTTTTACCTTGTGTTACTTTGTACACAGAAAATAGGTGCAAAATTCATCAATAGCTGATTAGCTGAAATTACAATTATAAAATATTTGGCACATTGTGACTATACAGACCAAATGAAATAGCTGTGTCAACTTTTTAATAATCCTTTTGCCTGTCACTACTTTTTTTACAGCATTGGTTTTATGCTTTTTCTCTGTTGCTGTGTCTTTGCTACACTGATAGAAAAAAAACAACAAATACAGTGCAACTAGTAAAAAGTCTACATTAGTCACAACTATGATTTTGTCAGTTTTGACTTCATTTATTTTAACCATTCTGTTTATACAGTAGACTG